AAACAGACATACTTAGTCTTCCCAACTCAGCACAAGTCTAACTTGAGCTCAATCATGTTTACCCATTCATATCTTTACTTGCCATATATTATTTCAGAACTGAAAAGAAGAACAGACATACTTGGTTTTCCCAACTCAGCACAAGGCTGACTTGAGCTCAATCATGTTTACCCATTCATATCCTTACTTGCCATAAATTATTTCAGAACCAAAAAGGATAACTGACACAAATGACCTTTTACTTTATTTCAATACAGTCAACATACAAGGAATAAATGTTTGTTGCTGAAACACAAGTTTTTTTGTATGCTGCTTCTATCTTATTTGTTTACATAGTGAACATGCACCTTCACCTAAAAATACACACAAAACCCACACCCTTAATATTCACACTGCCTTGCTGGCTAATGGTATCTTAAAGCTAACAGACTTAAAATTTCAAGTAATTACCTCTCTAAAAAATTGGACAATGTGCACTAATGGGAGAAATAGTTTAGTAGGAGTTTGTTAAACCAAAGAAGCTATGAAATTTATTAAATGCACACTATGTGATAGGTGAGAAAATCTGAATGAACCTTCCACTAGAGAATTAATAATTATCAGAATTGGATTGTAGGCTTCCTATGAAAAATTATTACCAGTAGAACAACATTTTCACCTAGAAAAACATGATTTTAATAGCCATGAAAAATTTGCTCTTAAGAATAGTGTTGTACTCTTAAAGAGGTTACAAATAGACAAAGGTGGTACTTAAGTGAAGGAACAGCAACACATGTGTAGATGAAAGAAGAGAGGTTTATTGTAAAAGAGAATACGCTACTGAAAGACAAGGAATTGGGTGGCAAGCTAGTAATTCCTGAAGCAAGCCCCCCAGGTATATCCTGTGCTCACTGTATATAGCTGCTGATATAGTCAGTCCATATAGGCGATAGGGAGTGTGGGACATTCCATTACAACAAAGAGAAATAGACACAGAAGACAAAGTTAGGAAAATACTAGAAGAACATGAAGACAAATTGATTTTGCACCTCAAAACACTTTGTCCAGACAGATTCAACAACAAACTAAACAGCCCAGATGGAATTAACATATAACCCCATAGATCAACCCCCACATATTTCTCCCTTAAACCTTATAATCGCTTTAAAATTGCATATACTCTACTGCTCTACTACATGGAAGATGAAGGGCCAAGATGACTCCCCAAACCGCCACTACCCACAACCAGATTAGACAGGCATGCGTACAGAGGTGATAAGATTTCCCATACACACACTCAAACATTCCCAGCAATCAACAAAGCTATCAAAATGACTAAAGAAGAACAGCTCACAGATATCCCAACATTTTTAAAAAAAAAAAACTTGAAAAAGATCTTTGACCAATTCTAAAACTAACAAATGAAAACTACACGTCAAATTCTTCCTCAGAGACTGTCATTCACTCCTGTAGTTGACTGATACTAACAAGCATGAATTTTTTCTCCTGATGATGGCCATGCTGTCAAAAATTAGTCAAGAAACCTAATTAAAAAATAAAACAAAAATATTAATATACAACCCAGTGTGCCTGAAATTTTAATTTTTTTATTAATTTTTAACAATTTTTATTGTTCAAGACACACACACATATATATTGTATTTAGCGGTAATCCCTCTTTTATACAAGTTTAGTTAAAGATGACTGACAAGTTACTGCGATTAAGCTTTTTATTTAATTTTTCTTGTGTTTTCTTTTCTGGACATAAAGCGTGTAAAATCCGTCCAAAAGTTTTGGCTATTCTTTTAGCCATTATCGAGGGTGATTTTTTTAATTTATTTATTTTTTTTTTTTTTATTATGCGAGTTTTTTTTAAAGTTTTTTTTATGCATGTGTCTGAAGTTACAGTAATTTGGCTGTATTCATAGTTAATGTTATTGAGCATTGGCTTTTCCTTTTTTTATTATTAGGGCTTCCATTATTTTTAATCTTTATATATATATATATATATATATATATATATATATATATATATATATATATATATATATATAGGATTAATACAAATACTTAGCTAAGTGATGTTATGTTCAGCACCCTACCTTCAGAGTTTTGTAGATGAACCTTTTTGTAATTGTTTAGTCCACTTGTCAGGAGGTTTTAGCAATAAGCAATGGCTTTATGTTGATTATAACTTTATAAAGTATTTTCTTTTCAGGTGAAAATTTTCCTGAGAAATGGATAACAGAATTGTTTCAACAATGGAAATGGAAAAACTGAAGCATAAGTGAAGTCCAAAATCAGTGGAAAGTTGGATTTAAAAACTTCGACAAAGTGTGTATACCTGCTATATTTATTTTCTATATATATGTATGTGTATTTATCCATAATAAATTTCTGATTATATACTTCATTATTATTATTATATTTACTAATGGTACAAATGATGGCAATTGTTAGAAAGTTTTAATAGTGAGATGCAATGAAACAAAAGTCTTGAAACAATGTATTGAGATTCAATAAATTAGAAATCCAGAATTGACAACTACACCCTTGTGCAAATTAATTGAAACAATATGAATAATTCCGTTATTTTTTTTTTCATATTTTTGCAATGAAACATGACCCAGTGCACATGTTAATACTTTGTATGTCCATTCCACAAAGTCTTTCCTTACAGATTGACCACAGATTCTTGATTGGATTTAAATCAGGAGAGTTTCTGGGTCAATCTATACTTTGATTTGCTCACTGGTAAGGCTTGCCATTGTGTTCATGCAGCATTACAATTTTTGTACACTTCCTTGGAGTAATGTTCATCACAGACAATGTCCATAGGACAACTAATTGACATTTGAGACAATAGTGTCTGGGTGTGATAAAAATCTGATGCAACCATGGATAACACAATATTTTTCAAGGCCAAACAAATTTTATCATACACCCTGAAAATAGATTCATATTACTGCACACTACTGCAAATGACCTAACGATTAATAAATATATATATATATATATATATATATATATATATTTTTATTCTTCATTTATGAGAAATAATTATTATCTCTCACTGTTTGTGAATGTCTTTCTGACGAAATCCCCTCATTTTTAAAATAAAAGGAAAAAGAAAATTTTGAATAATTTAGAGAATTAAAAAAAAAAATGAAAATACCAATGATTTAAACAGTTTCAAACTTGACATTTGCAAATAACAATTGAGTTCAATAACTGTAAAAAGTCAGGGAATGATTTTAACCTATAGCAATATTATAAACAGGACTCCCATCTTATAAATAGTTAAAAAATCAATATTTTTCAATTCTGAAAAATGTTGTGGCTTGAGAAAGGTTTAATGAATTCTAATCTACAAAAATTAACCCCCCCCAAAAAAAAATCTATTTTTTTTTACAAGTGGAGCAGTTTATGTAAGAAAATAGAAAAGGGGTATCAGAATCTTTTGAGACGAAAATGTTTTTTACATTTTGCAAAATTTAAGAGTAATTTCATTAACTGATTATTTCTTTGAATTTTGAAAAAAAAAAAATAAGACCAGTTCTCATGCCTATTAATTTACTTTTTATAACACAATAAAAAAAATAACCATTTTTAATTAATTGGATAAATAAATAAAATTAAGCTGAATGTTATTGAAGCCTGAAATAGATTTCCCTTGTTGCTTAAACAAAGTTACATAAAAATTGCAACTGAACAAAAAATACAATGTATCATTCTAATATTTAAATAAAATAATGTATTACAAAATTAATTTTCACTGGTATGAATTTCGAGTATTACATTTAAACCATCGTTTTAGGCAAGCAATTACAATGCTTTCATTCGGTCTCAATAACATTTTCCTTTACTTAAAAATTGAATTTAATTTACACGGTATTAATTAATAATCGTTGAAGAAATGCTAATTTATGGCTAAGCCATCAGAGTTATGTCCCTTGCAACAGTCACTCTCCGAACAAGTCCTGAACATGTCGGCGGAGGAAGACATCGACGTCGACTGCTAGAGAGCGAAAAATAGGTTCGTGTAGAGGGGGGGAAAATCAAAATAGCTAAAAAGCTATAGAGTAGTCTGTGTCTTGGAAAAAAATTGCTTATATTTATTATTTTATACGATCTCGATGGTCTTTGCTGGTAGAATTTGTTAACATTATTAATTCGCACTGCAGAAAAATATATAAATTTTTATTGATTTTTCTTTCTGACTCTAACAACCTGGATGTTGTTGTTGAATTGCATAATAATCCAAAACAAGAAAACATTCATTTTTTACAAAAGAAAACTGTAATTGCTTATATGTGACTTTTGAAACGAATGTGCTTAGCTTATGCTTTTATTTTTCTTGTTGAGGAAACATTCACTTCGTCTTTCCCTTGACTTCATTCCGACACAACATCTCACGGCACACTGTTCAAAAATAGTTTTTTTGTTTTTAATAAATTAGTGGATAATTTCAATTCATAATTGGAAGTTATAAATGTAAAATATTTGCCTTAATTTACTACTTGTTTATTTTATATCCAACGTGAAGGTAAAGTAAGTGCGTTAACTTTCCTTCTTAGAATTTAACAAAAAATGTTGAATGAATTAATTCAATAATGTATTCATTGTAAAATTAAAATTAAAAAAAACAAACAAATTAATTAAATGCACAAGTTAATTTCTTGTCTGTAATTTAACTTCAATCATCAAATTAAACGTTTCTTCTTGTCTAGGAAACCAAATTTTTAATTTTATTTTTTCGCATTTTTAGGAAACCTTTTTGCCGCTTTGTTCACTGAACAAAATTAAAATACTAACTTTTTTTGTGGTTTGTCTTGCGAATGTCGGAAACAAGTCATGTTTGAAAAGAATTCTATGTCAATAATGATCTGTAATTCTTAAGAAGAAAAAGAAAAAAAAAAACAACTTCTTATTCTCTTCCTACTTAAAGTGCTTGTTATTGTAATTGGAATGAATGACTCGCATGTTTACTCATGTTCTGTCTGCAGTGTCACAACAGCTGAATGGGTGTGGTCATTAAGGAGATCAGAACAGAAGACACGATTTCTTTTTCTTTCCCTCTCATCATGGTGATAAACCATCAAAATTTAAAAAATGAAATTATATGAAAATTTACCCAAGAGTTGCGCTTGGTACAGCGTGCTCTTGGTTTGAGCCTCAGGACTTTCTTACTAAATGACATTTTGTTGGTCTGTGGCTATAAGTCACTGTTAGTATTCAACAACTAAAAAACTAAAAAGTATTTAGTGTCATTGAAAGAAATTACTTAAACACGGATTATTAAGCTAAGCGTTGTTTTATACTGTTCTGGACATGCTTTAAAAAAAAACCTTAATGCAATAATGATTGTTATTTGTTATTCATACTGCATTGTTAATCTGAAGCATCTGTACTAAAAAAAAAACCGTCCGATAACCTGATGAACCACATTATTTCATAAGGTCCAGGTAAGTTTTTAAAATTCATAAGACATTTAACAAATTGAACGAAGAATAAATTTATATAGTCAGTGGGTGATGTTTTACGGATGCATATTATTATTTGTAAATAATAATATACCACGTTTCAATTTTTTGATAGCACTGAACACTGAAGTCTTAAAAAAAGTGATTGTAGGAAAACAAAGATTGCAACAAATTATTATTGCCTGTGTAAAATAACATTTGTCAAGTAAAAGTTTATAATTTCTCGAATTTCGGTTGCTGTTGTGTAAATAAATGTTGTTCTTTTAATTTGGATAATTGAAAAAATAAATCTAGACGTCAAATCAAGCGAATAAGAATGTTACAAGGAAAGTAACTGAAAAGCGCGGGAGATGGGAATATGAAGGGCTTTTTAGTAAAGCAAAATAAATGGATTATTCACTTTGCTTTTCCAAGCCATTTTGTGCTTGCTTAAAAGAAAATAAACACTTTTTTAAAACAATATAGCTATACAGTATAATAAAAAAAATCCTCTTAGTATTTTAAAAATTGTATCTCCTATCCATAAGCAACGGTTTTTTATTTAAAATTTTTTCAAATAATGCCATGCATAAAGATTTCATATAGAGACTGTGTAAGTAAGTGTATGTAAAGACTTCTGTTTGAGCAGGTGGTTTCGAATTGTAAGGAGTGGAGGAGAGCTAGCTGTTTTAATAACTTCCTTGAAGACGTCCAGTTGCAGTCGTTGAAGAAGAAGATTCTTCTATTTTCACGACCGAGGGAAGAAAGAAAACATCATCATCACCACCATCCCCACACGCACTTTATCTCGAAACATTCATTCTTGCACCATTCGTGGCCTTGTCTGTAAATCACTAGCAGAACTGAAATGTTATACCAGGCACAAGCACGGACTGATTTTTAGCTGTTGGACACTCAAACGTCGAAATCTATAGGAAAAAGTCCAACTCCAAACTGAGTTAAGAAGAGATCTTTACTTTAACTTAACACTAACAGGAACACTTTTTTTTTCCCACACTTTTTTAGAAATTCATCAGTGCATAAGAAAAAAAGTGTATTGTTTTTGTTTCATATTTAATTTTCTGTGTTTTCCCATAAATTGACCTCCTCAATCCGTAAGATTCTTACGGTAAGAAGAATTTTTTTTTTAGTCATAATAATAATTATCTTGTGAGCATCAAATTTAATAATTTATTCATAAAATTGTGTTTTTTTTTTCTCCCAACTCGAGTGAACTTTTTAATGCTTAGAATTTTTATTTAAGCTTTATTTTATTATTTTAACTTAATTTTATTTTTTTAGCATTTTTTTAGCAAACGTTGACTTTCGTGCCGGCAAAAAAAATGGAGTGTCAAAAGGGCGTTCCCCCCCCCCCGACACCACTTTTTTTTTTTATTTCAATTACTCCTCGGAAATGCTTATTGTTTTAAAAAGCAATAATTAGAATTTATAGAGTTATAGTAAAACTTATGAATAAAGTGAATTTGTACATTTTTATGCTCTTGAGAATTTACAACAAAAATAATAAACTACTAAAAACAGTAAGTAAACAAACACTAATGTTTATTACCAAGAATAATTATTAAACTAAAATACAATACAAAGAGGAGGCACAGTAAAGTAACGGATAGCGGTTCGGATTGAGGAATCGGAGAGTCGAGTTCGAATTCCATTACAGTATTATTCACTTACCCTTTTGGCAAAGGTATGAATCCTCTTCTTTTCCCCCCAGTTATGAGTCGTAAATAGCAGGCCTGACCGGGTTGTTTTTGCCTTGGATGGCAACTGGTCTACAGAAGAAATAAATGGCAACTGTGGGAAAAATCTACCTTGTCAAGTCATGTATCGAAAGATGCATGATCGCCTAAGCGTGTCACGCATGGCACATAATAACTGAATACAATAATTTAATGAATGTAATGCAGTATTTATCAATTACAACTATATAAGGAATTAAGAAAATATTTTTATTACAAAATTTAAAAAAAAAGCAATTGGAAATAGTGGCAAATGATTTTATTTTTATTGAAAAGTCAAATACAGTGTAAAAATTGCTGACACATCTGCGGTTGGTGATTTGTGTTGTGAGTGTCAACGCTACCGAAATTAAAACTGCAATTTATTTATTTTTTTTAACATTACAACGAAGTAAAAAGTTTATGAGTTGATCTTGCAAATGAATTTTTTCATAGCATTTTTATCTGAAACGTCGACAGAAATGAGCGTGTGTCCAATTATAAAGTTCATAGATGTCATTACTGAAAGTTTACAGGCGAAAAGGAAGTACAAGAAGCGTATATAATGACTTAGATAAGAAGCTGATCTCGTTTTAGTAATCAGCGAACCTTTTGATCTCTAGTCGCTTCAAATCCCTTTGAAAAGAAAAAGGAATTAAAGTCGCTTGGAGTCAATTTGTACAGATAACTTGGTATTTTTTGAATTGACCTAATTCCCTGTTTTCAGGAGATACAAACTCAGCTTTTTGAATGTCTTCAAACCAATTGCTATTGGTTGATTGAAGGTTATCTTTTACTCAGCTGTGATCTATTTTATTTTTAAAATCCAATTTTAGATTTTATTTTTATCGACGTTTTCATGAAGCCTTTTGTATGTGTTACTAATATATATATATATATATATATATATATATATATATACACATATATATATATATATATACACAGACTCATTTTTGTTTGTTTTTTTATTTTTTAATACACAATAAAAACTTTGGGATAGTGTTGATTTTTAAAATCAATAGCTCACACTCGCACATATTCCAAATATTGAATTATCTCCCTTAGATTTCTTCGGTTTACATTCTGATAACATATTTTCTACAAATAAAAGATCAAATACAATTCAGTATTGTGATCAATAAGACTTAGAAATTATAAAATAAAAATAAATTCAATAAGCTCAGACTGTTTTAGATTTGAAAAAAAATTGTTCATAAAAAGTAAAACCAAAAATAGTGTTTGAAATGTTGTGTAATTAATCACCCATGAAAAAAAAATCAGGTATATTTGTATTTTCTTGTAAGAAATTTGACATAGCTAAGTTCACCAAAGCAAGGAGAAAATGTTGAGCAAAGAACTTTTCAACACTCTCTTATATACAAGTCAAAGAAAGTTCAATTAACATCTCTAATCTCAGATTAAAAATAACTTAAACTGAAATGAAGATGAGTTGCATGAACGTTTTTTACAGCTATATTTGTGAAACTTTGTCAATTATTGAAACTAATATTTTCATATTTGCTGTATTTAATCACATTGCGATTCATGTGTTATTTTGTCTTTCATATGAAAACCAAACTATTTTAAATATCCACAGGTGCTAATTATACAAAATAAGGAATTTAGTAATCATTTCAAAAATGATAAAGGTAAAAATTTGTATCTTTCTTTTGGAATATAAAACATTATTATGACTCTGAAATAGAAAAATAGTTGTAAATGATAAAGCATTAATAAGTACATGAAAACTCCTGACATATTCCACCCAATACACCCAATACATCAAAGAAAGTGATGCCTGATGCAATTGCAATGTCATTACTTACTTCTGCATTGCTCACCTTTTGACACACCATTATATTTTTGTGGTTATGTTTATGGACTAATTTGTGGTATAATAATTCTTTAAAAGCCATAGATGTGATAATCTCTACTTGATTGATAAAAGCTCGAAGCAATTAAAGTTTCTTATTTTTTTTTTATTTTTTTTAATCATTACGCTCCGAGCAAGGCGTGAAGCTACTAGGATGCAGGGGGTTGCAGGTGGGATGTAAGAAGCAGAATCTAATGATGGTCCACTTGAGAAATGATTAAAATTACATTGTTATCAGTTTTGCAATTATAATTTTAGACTTAATTTCTTTCCCATGACCCAACATCTTTTGTCACTGATACACCATGATAGACTGAGAAAAGATCATAGGAAGAAATATATCTGCAATCCAATCACCCATAATTATCTTATGTGCTCACACATATAAAATAGCTGTGAGATTGTCAGCTTTGACAGACGGTGGTCAGTCACTATATCTGATGATGTACTAGTTTGTTTTTCTTTTTACATGGTTTTTAATTATTATGTATAGTATATAATTATTTACATTTCATATAATAGGGGGTGCCTAAAAGTTCTGGACATTTCCAAGAAAGGATTCAAAAAATATGTTTGATCATTTGGTCTGATTTTGTTTAGTGGGTTGGGCTGAGAACTTTTCGGTTTGCCTCATATATAAAATGCAATGTGTTTTCATATATATTTTGTATGTATGTGTAACAATTTTCACAATGTACAAAGGTACAAGGAGCAACACTTTGATCCTAGACAGAGTGCATAAATATTCTAATCTGATATAGATGTGCTAATCCATATGTAAATAATCCAGTCAATTTTTTTAATATATAAAAAATTTATACAATAATACAATGGCCTAGTGGCATTGGTAAAGTGGCATAGCAATTGTGAGATCAATCTCTGTGTCAGGAAGTGTGTACCATCAATTATGATGAATGGAAGTCCCTAGGGTAGGCTCCATACATTGAGAGACTCTTGGGCTTTAAACTCACCCCTGCCATCACTAAAGATGCAGGAAAAATGGTCAGTTCTCTGTACCACTCCAGTAAGTACCTGACTCCTGCTATCCTCTACTTTTACAAGAGCCAGATCAGGCCAAAAATGGGGTACTGTTGTCATATTTGGATGGGAGCTACCCAGTCCTCACTTTCCAGTCTTGATAAAATCTAAAAGCGTCTGTGACAAATTATTTTCCACTTTTTAACCTCTCTCACAGATGGGATGTGGCAAGCTTTTCATTGCTCTATCACTGCTTCCATGGAAAGTGCTGCATTTCTTTGTTCCACCACTTCTAACCTTCACAGCTAGGGCCCACCATGCTACTCACATTGTAACGAACCACACCCTCATTCCCTCTATATTCCATTGGTGATTTCCACTTGAATAGCTTCTTCCTGTAAACCACTGCCCTGTGGAACTGACTCCTAAGAGGATGTTTCCCCATATCATTACAATCTTAACCTGTTCAAGTCTAGGGTTAACAGTTATGTTTCCCTCTTATCTGCATAAACTGCTTCTTACTCTGTAACTCTCTACCTAAAGTGGTCCCTGGGCTTTGTACTGGGTGATCCTCACAGTAAAAAAAAAAAAAAAAATCTTCCTTTTGAAATGTTTAATAAACAGTTGTATTTGAAAAACCAATAGCATAGTTTCTGGTATATTAAAAATGGCATAATAAAAATGATTTCTTTAAACAAATGCATTGATGTTAAAATGGCAAAATAGATTTGAAGATGGTAAAAGTATTTTAAGTTTGTTGTAATTATTACTTTATTTCATCAATCAGATATTCTCATTTATGGGTAACGTTTAATTATTATTTTATTTTTTTGCCGTACAAAATATGCCAAAAAAAAAAAAAGAAATTTTTCTGTTTTATTTCTTGTTATCTAATTTAAATTTTGCAGGAAAAATGTGATGGTCTCATGTAAATTTTTTTTTTTTTTTTTTGTAGAAGTACCTGTACATAGCAATGGAGTCAGCAGAAAAGAGTCGATATGTGTGTACCTTGGGTCCTGAATTAATAAAAAAAGCTGAACAAGAATTAAATGAAAAACCACAGTGGAGAGAACGAGATATTCAAGCGCTGAGAGACATGGTTTTAAAGCATCAAGGTAAAAGAACTTTTGACTTTAGTGGGTTTTTTTAAACAATAATAAATGTTTATAGAAAATTACTTGTTATATACCGTACCTATGAATACTAATGGGTATGTCCCAATTCTCATAAATACGTTGGACACTATTGTAAGTGGGGGTTATATGCTAAGTAATCCACCACTAGCAGTGGTTTATCTACTTCACACTGCTGGCGAGTATTGTATTTTGTTGATATTATAAAGATTACCATTTCATTTCCAACCTCCATTTTGGTTATTCCTCATTCAATAATCTTTTCTAGGTTACAACATTACTCTATCTCACTTATATATACATACATCAAATCCTCCTCGTCCCCTTCAGATGCATTAGTAAGAAGGAAGTTCCACTTGAACAGCTTCCTCCCAAGAACGGCTACTTTGTGGAACAGACTCTTGAGAAGATGCTTCTCCAATCACTACAATCTTAAGCTCTTCAAGTCTAGGGTCAATCATCATCTATTCTATATATCCTTATAATCTGCGCTTGTTCCCTTCTCTTACATCTATACAACAGCCTCTTTCAGTAACCCTCTACCTTGAGACGCTCTTTGGCCTTGTGCTAAGTGAAGTGCAATGGCACCTTATTCCTCTTCAAAGTACTCTCCTTGGGACCTCACACACTTATTCCAGTATCCCTTTCACTTTTCAGTCTGTAATTCCTCTTTGGGGATCATCATTACATGTCTAATTGCATTCACCTTTGTCTCATCCACTGTCTGAAGCATCCTAATTTTAAATGGCAATTTTAGTTTGAGGAAAATTAACAAGTTACAGAGGGCAAAATCTGGACTGTATGGGTGCGTGGGGGCTGATAGGCCTGTGGGATAGGATATTTTGCTTAAAAATTCCAAAACAAACCTGGTAAAAGATCATGAAGAATGGGTAATCCATTTCTCTCAGTATTCTGAATTGACGGACATCTTAATGTCTTGTCACTGGCATACCACAATAGTTGGTAGAAAGAAAAAAGAGCAGATAAGTGAGCACTTAGTCAGACCCCCCTCCTATTACACATTCCAATATAGTAGCAAATAACTGCAGCGCACATATTTAACAAGGTTCAATCATATCATCTCTAAATTGTCTATTTCAGGCCTGAATGCTCGCACTGATGATGCCTTTCTACTTCGCTTTCTGCGTGCCCGCAAATTTGATTATGATCGAGCATACAACTTATTATTGAATTTCTACAAGATGAAAGCAGAGAATCGGGAATTGTTTGTTCATTTGAAGCCATCGACAGTGCGACATGTTCTTGATGCAGATGTTGTCTCCCCTTTGGAGAATCGAGATAGAGAAGGGCGAAGGATTATACTTATCAAACCAGGTAATGACATTAAAAATTTTAACAATTTGTCTTTTATGAGACAGCTTTTATTTTACCACAAATAATTAACTTTTTTTTTTTTTTTTTTTTAATTAGAAACTGATCTCGAAACAGCATTAAAATTTTTCACTGCTTTCTTAAATGCTTAATTACATTCTCTCTTTCTTTCTCTCCATATCTTTTTCTCTCTCTCTCTCTCTCTCTATATATATATATATATATATATATATATATATATAAAATGTGAAAAATATATAGAAAATAGGAAAGAACTCATTAGGTAAATAATCCAAAGTTCTTTAGTATATTTTTTAGAGCTTACTTTAATTCAATTTAATTCAAATAATTATATTGAAGTTTTCGGCTCTTGTTTTGAAACCTGAGAACTCTTATGTAGTGTGTTGAAATCATATTTTTAAATAAATAATATATAATCTTTATAAAAGTGGACATTGAAGTCAACACTCAGAGGTGACAGTCTGTTTCTTGCTAAACCCAATTGATAGCCTAATGATTGTGTATAAGCATCAGATAGACTGTCAGTTCTGGGTGTTGCCTTCAATGTCCACTTTTATATTTACATATGTTCTATCTCTGATATTGAGCACTTTATCCCATTAATATAGCATACCTTAGAACTATAGTTTTTTATAAATATATTAAACATTATTTTTAGAGGATATTTGTATTTGCATAGATTTATATTTGTTTACCAAACTGAATATTCAAGAAATCTTATTAGAGAAAAATATGCACTTTCCAGCAGGATTTGAACTTGCATACCTCTCGGGGAAACCATCATTAGATCTGACTTGCTTTGACCTCTCGGCTACAGAGTGCATCATTGACCAAGCAAAGCCTAAATAGTGCCTTTAAACAACAGATTTCTCTCTGACTCTCGAAATAGACATCTCTGCTCAGTTCTGTATCTTAACATAAACACAGCAATTTCCTAATAAGATTTCTTGAATATTCTGATTGGTAGATAAAAATAAATATATTGCTTAATAAATAAATGGAGCACCTACTCAAATATGAATATCCACTAAAAATAACTTTTAAGTAATAAAAATCTGTTGGATTAACAATTATAAAAAAATTCATCCCTTTCTTCTAACACACACACACATATATATATATATATGTTAAAAATATAGTTTTATGGTATGCTATATTTATGGGTAAAATGCTCAATATTAGAGAGAGAGTATATGCAAATATAAAAGTGAACACTTACTATCAACAATGCATCATAAATAGTTGCTCCCAAACACAACATACATGGCCTGAAAAGTGCATTAAATCATGAAACAAACTGTCACCACTTGGTTATAACCCCAGTGTCTACTTTTATATATATTTTTTGGTGCTTCTGCAGGTTAGTAATTAATTTTATTTGTTTTGATTTATACAAATTGTTTTTTTAATTTTTATATAATTTTTCTACATTTCAAGCCATTTTTCTGGTTTCTGGGAAGAATTTGAACATAAATTGTTCAATGTCTTCTGTCTCAAAATCTGTAAAAAAAACCCCCAAAAACAACTACAAATACTAGAAGCCTTAACTATAAACTACAAACAACCCAGTATCAATAAACCTTTATTCAATATAAGAACAAATAAATTAAATACATTTGACAACTAATAATAAAAAGATATAACATCACAAATTGATGTTTGAAGATGGAATACTTGAAAATGCTGACATAATGCCCATTGTTGTGTAAACTGTAACAGTCAAAAAACTACCAAATAAGATCAGAATGCATACACAGACACAACTCTAGTAACATAAAACTAAAACTGGTTGATAAATGCTTATGAAAATCAAAAGTGCTAAGAAAACATTGCACAAGTTACCTTTAAATTCTCTCCAGAAACTAGAAAAATGGTTTGAACTGTAAAATAATTAAATAATTCTTAAATAAAGGACTTTTATTTGTTTTAAACCAAACCTGTATAAATATTACTAAATGTGTATGTATTTTATTCCTATTTTTTCTCTTACTCTTATGCAAATCATCAATTCTCTAAGGTCATTGAAGAATGGCAGTTTGATAAAAGAGGTTTACATCTTGTTTTGTAAAAGACATTAAAAAATGGTAAGATTTGTTGCTTCCAGGATTTTTGTGTTCATCAGCCTTGTATGATTCTAAGTTAACATTTTCAGGTCAGAATATTTCAGAATATGGTACTATTGGATCAAATGCCATATTTCATTAAAAATGAGAGATTGTTAAATTTACTATAAATTTATAGAAAAAGTTATCCATTTAAATAACCATATATTACAACTAGTTTTCCACAAGAGATTTGTCAGTCATCTATATTTATAATAGTGCTGCATGTATTTGTATTTTTTGTCTTTTTGTTGTACTAGACTTATCTCCCTTGGAGATGAAAAGACTACCTCTGTTTAAAAAAGAAAAGAAAAAAAAAAACAAAAAGCCCAACCAGTTAGATAAACATATTTAAAGAGTTGTATCAGAAAACCTAATATTAATAAAATATCAATTTCGTATATGTTATAATTTTTGACAGGATGGATAAGCTAGTATATAAATAAAAATCTTTTTATTATTTTTCCTTTTACATTTAGTGCAAAATAAAATTAAACTTGGTACTGTATTATCAGTCTTAACTGTATTTGATAGCATAAAAGAAACATGGATACATTAAATGCACCCCCCATTAAAGCAGGGCAAGTTCAAGAACTGTTTTTATTTGATGTCAAATGTTAGTGGAATTTTGTCCATGTTTAAAAATTACTTAAATTCTAATAATTTTTTTTCTTTATAATCAGCTGGCATGTTTTAGTACATATTAATGAATCCTGCTAGTTTATAAACTAGTAACTTTCAGATCTTATAAAACTCTTTCGTATTTTTACTAATATCTTAGTCATGATTTCATTATCATTTTGACAGAAACGCTTTCCCTAGAATTCCTCTAATCTACCACCAACATTTTTTTTTTTTTTTTTTTTTTTTTCCAGCAAGTTCAGGTTGGGTGACAAAGGTTACGTTTATCTTTTTATGTCTTTTTTAGATATTTTTCATTGATCTTTTTGAATCAGTTGATTCTTTTGCCCTTGCCAGACATTTTATTTTTTCAGTAGGTGGTGGACTAAAAACTGTTAGTATTGCTCTGTTCTCATATTTCTTAGTGTAATCTATAAAATGTTGCTTGTGGCAAATGGTGTAGCTTAATCTTACAGCCATGTTCTTGAGGATAAAATTCTGTAAACTCAACCAGGCCCATCAGTGTCCTATGTACCATTACCAAGTCCAAATCTTTCTCCCTCATGATTGACTATGTCTTCAGGGGTGTAGCTGTATTCACTATGATGGCCAATTGTAGGTTGGTGAGGTTAATTTAACCCACACTTGGAGGTTTTGAAATCAGAGTTGTCTTTCTCTTACTCTAGTTGGCACCTACTTACCCAGCCAGATTGAGCAAGTGAAGACCTGAATAAAAACCATCTATTTTATATTGAAAACACTGTTTGGGTTATCATTTCTCAATATGCTACAAGATGTCGTCTTTCTTAATTTATGGCTGGATGTGCACATAATATAATGGTTAACAGTGCACAATGAGAAATCAGAGTTCAAATTCTAGTATGGTTATTTACATTCACTTATGCGTAAATACCCTTGGGAAAGGCATGAAACCATCTCCTCCTTTCAGCTATTATTATTATCTTCAGTTAATCAAGTTTTTTCAGGGAGTGTGGGATATAATTTACAAAAAGTTTGATTTATTCAGTTGCCATCACATATAATAAATAGCCATACATCAGCTGATACAAAGGTGATGGCCTGAACTGTTAACTTAATTTGTTTAAATAAAAAACTGATGTTAATTTTGAAATTGGAATCAATCATGTAAGACATATTAACCAAGTACTGTTCATGCTCAACTTGAGTAAATAAATATTTTTTTAAAAGACCCTGAAAAAAAATGACTGAGCAGCTTGGTTAATATTTCATTCAGCATATTGAATTAATAAATATATTAAATTTTATTATGACATTAAATTTACATAAAAACATCCTTTAATGGCTTTTTCATTAATTTTGTAATAAGAATATGACATTTGGTTCTTACGCTTTAATGAAAAATGTTAAAAAATAAACTAAATATTATTTGTTTATTTATTTTACCTTGAAAAGTACAACTAATAAAAAAAATTAATTTTATGATGAATGCATTTGTTTTTTTATGAATAACAACAATATTAGAAAAAAATATTAAAGTAACTTTGTGAAATTATAATGGTAATTTATTTTTAATTAATTCCAAAGTATAAAATTTAAAAACGAGCGTAGAAAAATGTCTTCAAAAAGAAGACATACGTCTGTTAAAAACTAGACATTTAACTTTAATATTATTTATTAATGTAATTTCTTTTGTTTAATTTTAATAAGTAAATCCTTCCTTGCAGTTCCCTCAATAACAAAAATTGTGGTTAAAAAAAAAAAAAGATTCATACTTTTTTTTTTAACTTTTAGAAACAAACAGGACGTAAAAGAGAATTCATTATTGAAGCATCATGACTGTTTTTTTTTTTTTTTTCTTTTTTCAAAACTGTTGAATAAACTTTTAACAAAAAAATATCAAATAGACTTAAACATTTTTGCGGGGGTAATTTGCTTTTTAAGTCCCACACTATGTATCTAATAAAAATTTCCTGAATAGTTATATTTAGGTGTAAATTTACATGCTTAATTAAAAAATAACAAAGAAATTTTGATAAAATCTACCATTTTGGAGTTATCAACAATAAAATTTTGGACTCATTCGCATTCATCCATCAGCCATTAATGGCGTTGTTTATCTATATTCACCTCAGAACACTTTTGCCCAGAACCTTAATTAACAGCCATTTTATTGTTCTTACTCATCTCAATTACTGTGCAAAAAGTAAAGCTTGTATTGAGTTTATTCCTTTGTGTAGAAAAGCAATGACAAGTGTTGTTTTTTTATAGTAAGGCTTT